AAATTCCAGTGAAATATATTTATGTTTGTGGTTGTAATGTGACAAAATATGGAAAAGTTCAAGGGGTATGAATACTTTTGCAAACCACTGTATCATAAAGAAACAAAGTCTACAAACAGCAACAGTTTGTGCACACTTACCAATAGAATAGGATCTAAGCTCATCATTTACCTTTTTTTTCATTATTTCTGTTTTGGAAGGACCCCCGCCCCCCACCCCCCCCAAACTTTACCATAAGCTTCATATTTGGAGGACGTTGCTGTTTTAGTGAGTCTGTTTGTCGCACAGCTCACGAGTTTCCTCTTTTTTCCTCTCTCTCTGAGTGTCAGGAGGGGAGCTCAGGAAGCTCACTAAGGGGTATTAATTTTTATTGGCATTTTATTTAATTTGTAGACAACTGAACAGATGAACACACAGACATGCTATGTCTCTCTGTCCTCGTGGGGACCTTCTATTAACTTCCATTCAATTTTTTAGACTTTATATCCTAACCCTGACCATATACTCTAAAATTAACCTCACAGGAACTTACCTGACCCTAAAACTAACCTAAACCTTGGTCCTAAACCTAACCCCACACCCGAAATTTGCATTTGGCCAGGTCCCCACGATTCACTTTGGTCCCCACGATTCTGCTTTTTTTGAGAAAATTGTCCACACGTTGTAGGAAAAACCCATTCACACTCACACATACGTTTGTATTTATATTCTTATTACAACAATATGTTGACTTCTATTCAGTTCCAGTCATTTCTGACACTAACCCTAAACCTAACCATCCCCAGTACATGACTAACCCTAACCCACCCTCACTTTATACCTTAGTCCTTAACTGTAGCCCAACAATGGTGTTCCACCATATTAGAACTGGTCTTTAGTCCCCAAAAGGACTGCTGGTCTTGACAAAGTAGGTGTTTTACTAGAAAATGCCTTAAAAAGGTAACAAAACCAGGTCTACACATACACACATACAAAAACATGAACAAAAACATAATGGTCGGTGAAAATGTAGACTTCTGTCTCCTTGAACACAAGTCCAAATAAAAAAGGGATGACGCAGGACCTTTTTCATGGCCCTGGTTTTAAAAATAAACTGTAAACAGCTTGTACAGTATTTGAACTAGGTTTAGACAAATAAATGGTTGTTTTAATTTCTCTGTAGTTTGGCTGTTATTAGACACTTTGCTTATGGTAACTTTTTGTGTCAGGTCACACTCTCATGTTCCAGCAGCCTAACACAACTGAGTTGGAGTGGTTTTGGATAATGAAGTAACTCCCACTGTGAGATTTAATTTAGTGTGTGGCCTGCAGCATCACAGGAACAGTGCATGAACCTTTCAGCCTGACTCCAAATTGGTTTTTATTGTTTTGTATTTTTTTAATTTGAATGGTTCAAGTCACATAACCAACTCACAATGAGCACTTTGTGTGTGTGTTTACATTTCCCTCAATGAACTTTGTGATTTTAGAGAAAAGTGGAGAATAAAAGAAGATTGTGAAATATTAAAACAAATACTGTTGTGAGGAGAGGGAGATTGCTTTTTGGTGGATGGTTTCATTTGCATGTCAGCCTCAGGCAGATTGAATTCAGAATGTGAGCTGCTGCTGTTTCTTCATGGGTCTGTCCTCTGTTGTATTTACACACATCTTGTTTAACCAGCCAAGTATTTCACTTCAACAGTAACTCGCTCTCTGTCACCGCCAGGTCAAATCCAAGACGTGCCGTTGGGCCAAGAGGAGGCAGCTTCTCAGGTGGAGGACACACCTGAGCTGGACCTGGAGGTGGTCCCTGAATCCACCGGAGACTGGCACAATGTCTTCCCCTGAGCACAGGGCTCCCTGGAGTCAAACCACTCTTCAGGGTGTCCTCAGCTCATAAAGTTTCATGGCTAAATGTTGTTGTTTTTTTGTGCGTCGTGGGGTTTTCAGCCCAGTAGCAGCTCCCTGTTGTTTCCTCTGAATTACCAGTGAATTACAGGCTCTGCTTCTCTGGATTAAGGATTTTTATTTCTTCTGCCACAGTCTGATTGTCATCTTCTTGATAGCCTCCAGAGAGATTTGGCCCCATAAACCCTAATATCCTGGAGAGACCACCACCCAGGAGGCAGCAGGTCCCTCTGTTCTGTCAGAACCAGACTCTTCTTTCTTTATTACTGATCTAAAAACTGGGCTGAGAGAGAGAACAGTACATACAGACAGCATGTATTACGAGCTATATGTCACTTTTCTGACATGTGTATATTGTACATATTTAGTCTGGAAATGAAAAGGCCTCCAAACATCCCGGAGAGGATTCAGGATGTGAGTTCTGCAGCTGTTGTTACATGTTGGGACTTTCAGCAGCAGCTTGTTTCGCTGTAGTTCTTTTTGTAAATATTGTAGCTAGAATGCATATATTTTCTGAAGAGTCATTAGTACACAGATTGTTTGGATATTTGTAATTTTAGAGTATTTCATTTGAAGCAAAGCCAAAATGATAGACAGGCTCTTTTGTTGCAGTTGTATTTTCTATTGGTGGTAATAAATTAAGATTAAATTACTTTTTTAAATGATTTAGTCTCTTCTTGTTTTGTTTGTTTTTGCTGATGGGAGGAGGAAAGGAATATGACAACAAAAATGAACCATTACATTGATCAGTTATTAAAATCTGTTTGTTTGATGGAAACAAAACCTTCAACATGAATAAATCTGTAGAGATATACTCTGGTACCGTGTGTTGAGAAGAATCAATTCTATTCTATTATTATATTTAAATTTATCATTTAAATGTTATATCTAGTCGTAAAAAATGTATATCAGTTGTAACAATGAATCCTTCTCCATTCAATTAACTGTAAGAGTCTGGATGCACAAAGACTCAAGAATAAGAAAAGTCCAAATGAGCACAACGCATACAGTAAATCATCTGTTAATAAGACGCAACAAGTCCCAGCCTTAATAACAACCAGAATCTAAAGTTCATTAAAGTTTATTTCAAGGTTATTTAATCAAATCTACAAAACCTGATGAATCCAACAAGACACTTAAATTACAAGCATGTCTTTAAGACAGGACCACCTTCTTCCACCTGCGTAATATCACAAAAATTAGAAACTTTTTGTCCAAAAATGATGCAGAAAAACTGATTCATGCATTTATCATGTCTAGACTGGATTACTGTAATTCTTTATTATCTG